CCAAACTGCACTAGTCCCATTTGCCTGTGTTTTTGCCTATACCCCTCCAAAACATCCCTAACCACGTACCTGTCCAAATGCCTTTTAAATGTTGTAATTGTACATCATTAGCCCATACAGAGAACTGGGTTTTTATTAAGACAGCCATCTGCAAGTTTATTAGCTATATACACTTAAGTGACATCTCAGACTTACTCAGACATTTACAGCACAGAGAGAGACTATTCAGCCTATTGTGTCTATGTTGGTCAACAAAGATCTGACTAATAATCCCATTTTCCAGCACTTGGTCCATGTTCTTGGAAGCTATGGCAATCCAAGTGAATATCTAAATACATCTCAAACGTTAACTCAACCACTCTTTCAAGCAGTGAATTCCAAACTCCAACCACCCTCAGTGATAAAAAAATTCTTAACAATCCTCTTCACCTTTTAACCTCCTGCATTAATTAAATCTATGTCCCTGGGTTATTGGGCCTTCTACTAGTGGAAGAAATACTTTCTGACTCATGCCCCTCAGTCTTATACACCTTTATCAACCTTTCACTGCTCCAAGGAAAAAAAAACTCCAGCCTATCCAATTTTTCCTCTTAGCTCAGACCCTCCAGGCCAGGCAACATCCTAATAATTCTCCTCTGCACGAGAATGCAATCACATCCGACGCTCAGTAACAGCAGTGTGTACTATCTACAAGGTAGTCACCAAGGGCATTCACCAAGACTCCTTAGACAGCTGCTTCCAAATCCAAGACCACTTCCATCTAGAAGGACAAGGGTAGCAGATACATGGGAATGCCACCACCTCCAAATCCCCCTCCAGGCCACTCACCATCCAGACTTGCCACTTATCCACTGTCGCTGGGTCAAAATCCTGGAATTCCCTCCCTAACGGCACCGTGAGTCAACCCACAGCAGGTGGACTGCAGTGATTGAATAAGGCAGCTCACCACCTTCTCAAGAGGCAACTAGGGATGGGCAAGAAATGCTGGACCAGCCAGCGACATCATGTTCCGCAAGTCAATTAAAAAACCTTCCTATGATGTGGTGACCAGAACATCATACAATACTCCAGCCTGTTGGGCTATTACAACTTGTTGGACTATAACTTGGTGTCGTGTGACTTCTGACTTCGCAATACTCCAGTTACGGTCTAACCAGTGTTTTATACAGTTCCAGCATAACCTCCTAGTTCTTGTATTCTATGTCTCATCTATGAAAGACAAGTATGCCACATGCTTTCTTAATCACCTTATCTATCTAAAGAGGAGGTGATGGCCTAGTGGTATTATTGGTGGACTGTTAATCCAGAGACCCAGACAATGTTCTGGGGACCTGGGTTCGAATCCTACCATAGCAGATGGTGGAATTTGAATTCAATAAATATCTGGAATTAAGAATCTAATGATGACCACGAATGCATTGTCAATTGTCAGAAAACCCATCTGGTTCACTAATATCCTTTAGGAAAGGAAACTACCATCCTTACCTGGTCTGGCCTACATGTGACTCCAGACCCACAGCAATGTGGTTGACTCTTAACTGCCCTCTGGGCAATTAGGGATGGGCAATAAATGCTGCCCAGCCCGCAACGCCCTCATCCCATGAATCAATAAATGAAAAAGGATCTACGGTGGCTCACTTAGAGCTGTGGACCTGTATGCCCAGGTGCCTCTGATCTTAAATACTTTCCAGGGTCCTCCCATACATAATGTAATCCCTTGACTTGTTACCTTGCTCCAAGTACATGATCTCTCACAATTCCATGCTGAATTCCACTTACTCACTGCTCTATCCACGTAAGCAACCTGCTGATAACCCCTGCAGTTTATCGCCGTCTCCCAATATTTTCCACCCTACCAATTTTAATGTCATCTGTAAACCTTTGATCATACACCTGACATTCAGTCTGGATCATACGTTTACTGAGATTGTTATTTTACATGGTCGAATGGCTGACTGACCAGCAGAATCGCTAGCTGCTCGCAAACAGGCTCATCGACTGAATAAACAGAGTCAGCTGGAGATCTCTTATCCCTGAAGCATCGCATGTCGTGATGGCAACAAGCTGTCTTAAAAGCATGAGGCCTTCCTGAGATCTGAACAATATGACAACACGGAGTACATCACAAATACACGGCAACCCACTGACTTCACCCGGGAATCACTATGCGCAACCACAAAAATGTTGAATGTTTCCTCTTGCCTGCCACTTCAACACAACATGTTCCCTGGTCAACGTGCGACTCAGGAAGAACAGCATCTCATTTTCCGCTTGGTGAGCCTTTAGGACTCCAGATTGAGTTCACTAATAAGGCCCTAACACCACCTTCACCCACTCCCACAGCCCAGGCCCTGGGATGACGTGGGCTGCTTTCAGCACAGCCAACCCATTCTTACCTACTAATGGTCCCTATTATCAGCTTTTCTTCTTCCCTGGCTAACTATCACCCATCCCTTTGTCTGCCTAACCTACTTTCTATCTTTCCAGGCTCAGTCTCCACCTACAAAATCAAAACTTGCTGGAAAAACTCAGCAGGTTTGGCAGTATCTGTGGAGAGAAAGCAGGGTCTCTGTTTTGGGTCCGATGACCCTTCTTCAGAGAACTGCTGAGATTTTCCAGCAATTTCTGATTTTGTTTCTGATTTCCAGCATCTGCACTTCTTTGGTTTTCAGTCTTCAGCTATGCTCACACTCCTTTCTCTCCCACATCCCCACCCCCTAGCATATATGCCACTTTCCTGAGCTATTATCAGTTCAGAGGAAGGGTCACCGGACTCAAAATATAAACTCTGCTTTCTCTCCATAGGTGCTGCCAGACCTGTTCAGTTTCTCCAGCATTTTGTGTTTTGGTTTCAGGTCTTCAGCATCCATAGTTATTTGTTATATTTAGGCACTTTTTGTTAATATTGCCTCAAAATATCCTGGATTTTCCGAGCCCACTGAGCGGGTGAGGCAAAAGTCCCCTGTGTGCATGAACCCAGAGTTTATTTCATGGATATGCAGTGGAAAATGTGTTACATGTGCATGGTATATTTGCACATCTGTATATTACTAATGCTACACAAATCAGCAAACTCTCTTCATATTTGAATGGTGAAAATTTATGCAGTTGTGTGGAGGGAGGGAGCACAAAAGCCCTATGGTTACTGCTTGAAAGCAGAGATGAATTGATTATAACCTTCTGAAGTAATGACTGGCGTACCTCAAGAATACATCTTACAAAGGGTTAGGGGAGGTGCAGGATCGAATTGTATACAGGGTAGAGTCAGAGTCACAGCATGGAAACATACCCTTCAGTCCAACCAGGCCATG